GTTACAGGCGAGCGTGGTGGTTGCAAGGTCAAATGAGCGGTCGGCGTGGTCGCGCGGTCCGTGTGATGGGTAATGCAGCCGCACTGGCTGACAAGGTCACAAGGAATGGCGAGTGACTGCAACCTGAACAGAGCGCTGAACACAGATTCTTGCACAGCTGTGTTGTGAAACACTGGATCGGAGTAAGCTTAGGCTTTTCGGCCTGCCTCGAGAATTCTGTATCGAATGGTGTCACACAGAATGGCAATCGGCTCAATACGATTGAATTAAACGCTTGCGGTTAATCACAGATCCGAGTGAGAACGCTTAGTGATGGCACAGCCTCTAATCGTAGAAGATATTTCCACGTATGATGGATCACTGTGTAGAGCTGGTAAATCCGGTTCGAATGAGCGTACAGTGACAACGCTGCGAGAAGATGGAGAGAGGATAGAGGGAAATAATCCACATCAAGCAACTAAGCACGGTAGTTTCCTCTAAGTGTCAACATACACTGCAACGCGGCAATGGACGCGGTGATCGTCTGCATATTCAAAGGATGACTTACACCCCAAAATACAGTAACACGGAATATACAAGCTCACATGATTGCCGTTTGACCTAATGGTGTGCGGCCGAATGCTTAATGCCGCACCATGCGTTGACAAAATACATCACTCCTATAGGCATTAAACAGCACGGCTGGAGAAACGGCGGTTTTAACTAGCCGAATAGTCGAGATTACTCCAGTGCGATAAACATATTTCACCGCAGTACACAGGACAGCATACCAAAGAACGTCTAGTTACCAACGCCCTGAACAAGCTTATAGATACTGGCAGTCAGCTAACACTTGAAATTTGATGTACCCATATCATAAACCTATTAGTTTAAGGTTAGCTTTAATACGCTAAACGTTTTATTCCCTTTAAACGCGGATGCCAGGAGCTTTCAATTTTGCTGGGCAAGTTTTCTGTCGTCTTGCTCGACGGGAACGCTCTTTCGAGTAGGACTATTGAAACTCTCATTAAAAGAAGAATGCAGGGCCGTGTGAGACAACTGGTCTGCTTCGTTATCAGTGCCATTAAAAGAAGCCTCTTTCTAGACAAGCAAGGTCAGCTAAAGCACCCCCAAAGTGGATGGTAACAAAACCAGTTAAAAGATCTTGAATTTCTAACTGTATTTAATGACCAGTTATCTTCTGCCTCGGCACTTGTTTTTTGAGTTGAAAACAGGTTGCAGCACCTGGTAGTATCAAAAAACTGCAAAATCATAATTGCGACTGGGGTTCTTGAAACTCCTCTTTTGCAAGAAAACGGTTACGCGCTGGCGTTTCATGCCGATGAAGGCCATCTAAATTAATCGAGTATGTTGGTTGGATGCCTGAATTGGTCAAAGACTGAGAAACACGCAATCCCGGCTCCAAGTTCTTAGGATAGCGCTGATAAGCCGAAGCAATAATGAATCATTCGCCGCAAGGTCAAAAACTCTGTTAGCGATCAAATAACTTCGGACACCATCAGTACTTGATACAGCATTATGAGACTTGGCAGTGTCTGAAGGCGACACAACGTCACCGCCTCACTTTTACTTACCACAAAAGAGTTCATATCCTGGTCAACGTTGCTAGCATTTAAGGAAGAACTAGTATTGCACAAGCTGATAGAACACGCAAGGATATGCTGTACTGAGTCTGTAGCGGCCCAAATAGTCAGTCACAAAGCAATCCGCAGTCTCTACGTCTGTCCAAGATGACTTGCGTTTCATGTTGTCACCACGATTGTGAACGTTAACACGAAGTGGCGTAATCCTTGGTCGGTAGCGCGCACATTCGACAGGTTTAATTCAACGGATAAATCAAAATGTGTGCTCAAATTGCGCTGCTGTTTAAGTTGTTTTAGATATCGAACTAGGCACTTACAACATGAGTTGGATCATCTGCACAGTGTCCAACATTCAAACAATTCCCTAATTCTTTTTGGTTAGAATGGCCAACTGTGTGCTTCTTTTCCAACTTTAACTGCAACCCAGCAAATTGTATTTTATTCTCGGCAGGAAGTCTGTTTATCTTTCTACCTCTAACACAGATAGCAATCGTTTCTTTTTCACTTCTGCAATATCGAATGCCATGAATGTGTCGCAACTTCATAGTGCTGCCACGAATCTTACGGTTACTGCGTGAACCCGAGCATGCATAATTGTCGTCATGATAACCGCAAATAACTTGCTGGGATTCACTGATTTCCACGCAGTTTCCAAGAAGATTGTTCCGGTCAACCAACAAGGTTTTGTCATATACTCCAAATATCAAACCACACTTCAAAGTGAGGAAGATTGTTGAGAAATTGCACTCCAAAGCTTGTTGTTGATAGCGGCACTCAAACCTTCAGTCCAAATTGCATAAGCCAATGCTAAGCACGGTTATTGCGATAATAGCCAGGGGCTTGTTGAGTTGCATGAAGCGATCAAACGAGAGAGTATTCTGGATTCTCCTACACACTGGCCCGTCGTTGTTTGCAAATCGACCTCATCATGACTTACTACATTCTACATTTAGATGACTTGCTCATGCTGAGGCCACTGCTACGCTTACAAAGAGCTTGTAGCACACTGCGACAACTGCGGAAACATGTGGTTCCAGATCTGAAGCGCGGTCCCTATCCATGGTGTTTTGAACGGAGGATGATCAACGCTTGGAGCACTTTGAAGGAGTATATAGGAGAAGGTAACTTCATGCAGCAGTTCAAGGTGTTGTTGGATGTTAGGTTCCGATAACTATTAGCTACTAACAGCTCAAATATCTGCGCCCCAATCTACTGTAAATTACAAATGTTTACGGTATTAGATGAGAAGTTGTACAACAAGCAGGCTGCTGACAAGTCATGAATAGGCTCTGTTTGCCATTTTTGCTGATATTTCGACGAAATGGTATAGATTTCAATTCTTACTTGCGCCCACAATATACCATTTATTACTCCCTAATCAGTAATGGTCAAGTTGAAACACTTACTTTGTGGGTGGGATGCACTGCACAATCCCGATCCGCTTTGACATTCGTTTAAGGCGAATTCTGGTCCATCTCGTTTACAACCACAGTCCTGATATTTCGTGTCAAAAGAGTGCACGTAATGAACACAACCAATTCTGATATGCAGTTTTGCAAGCGGGCAACACCCTACACCTATTTCTATTAGACACGGTCCGAGTGTCCAAAAGAACTTAAATTCACTTCTAATTATATGGTGATTGTAATCATGGTTGTGTTGTAAGCCAGAAACATGGATTGTTTGATATTTCACAACAGTGGATTTTATTGGGATTGTTTGTACCCTCTACCAGTCCACCAGTTTAATCGCATGTGCATCCCACAACACCCTACTCCTCAGTGAGTTGTGCGCTAGGTATTGCATTGTTGACGCACTCACCATTCCTTGTAACGTTTACAATACAATTTGGGTATAGCTACACCTATCTTTTCAACCGTTGTAAATGTCGCACCTCCCTTACTTTTCATCGCTGCCGACTAGTATCCGAAATACAGCCAACAACTGCTCTCCGGGATACCTTCCCACGGGAACGAAAATGACCCATAATTAAGCTTATCTCTTTCCGTCCTATAAAGCTGAGCTCATATCATCACATTATCTGAAAACTGCGTAAATTTATTGCATTTGTGCGCATTATAACATCACCGACACACCGACTGAATGCAATTGGGATAACCCGAATTCAAATGGAATAACCCCCAGAAAATGGGCTAATGATTAGTTACACAACAATTCATGTGGCCCAGATCCGTCATATAGGGCAAAAGGGAAGACGTTTCTTAGTGCCCTCATATTAGCACCGAACTGTGTACATGGAATGGGACCAATTTCCCCATGCATTGCCCTGCACAGCCAACACATTACAGATGTTGTTGAATGCACACCTTAAAGTAGCCGTGTACATTTGCAAAAAAGTGTTAGCGCGAAACCCAAATGATGAGAAAAAGTGTCAAGCTGGTTGTATAGTTGGTGTAAAAGCCTATACACCTTGGAACGAAAGAATGGTAAGATAAAAAATAACTGGATAAACTTGGATAGCATTCTAAAACCTCCATTACATGTCAAGCGTAAGGACTTACAAGGTGGTGATTGGCAAGTAAGTTGAAAAGAGGAAAAAAGAAAAGTTCTAAGTGTTATGATGCACAGCCGAAAATTGAGTGCACTTATGTGCTGCTCTTTTGGTGCTGTTCACTGTTCACAGTTGCGACATTCAAAGCTGTAATAGAAAAAACATACGACTGCTTTAAACCAGAGAGTTGAAACAGGGGTAACATCGGTGTTTTGGCATAACGTTTCAGACATTATCTTAATAGGCCAGATAGTTTTACGAATTGATGTTGCGATGCAGCGCCTCGTAACGGCAACCTACTCTACTCCACTACTGGTGCCCCTCTGAGATCCATTATGCGCAAAACCGATAGTAGATGAAAGACATCTTGCTCGCCCCATGTTACATTCGAGCATTACTCCCTCCTTCGGTTTACTCAGCTGACAGCGGCTAACCGGACTTGCACCATCACGCTTGTCGTTCATTCTCGGCCTTCGTACTCTCCATCGTCAGTGCATGTGTGTGTAAAATGACTGTATTTATGCCTTTTAAGACTTGCTTTTAAAACCGACAGTCTTAGTTCACTTAAATTTTAACACCATTGCATCATTCAAATGGGAAGTAGAATTGGCCATCGTTTGCGATCCGTTACCCGATTATCGGTTAAGCGATGTTACGGAGCAGGACCACGAAGTAACTGCGGCGGTAGTAAAATGGCATGTAAAAACTAAATGTGCAAAATCAGAAGGGTTCAAACAGAAATAAGACTTTAAAAGTGGTGCTATGCAACAAAATTTTCATATATTTGCTATTAATGCATTTAAAATTGGCACGTGAATAAAATGATTTCCCTTACAATATACGCGTTTACTTATTTTACGGTCGCATCTCGGCCACGCATTTATGGCCATTGCGAAATTACCTTAGTTTTGGGGAAATGTCAGAAAAGTATATAATTGAAGAAAATCAAATTTTACTTAACCACCGCCGCCGCCCTTAACAGAGGGCCTGCCGATGTTACTGAATTGGGGCAGGCTCCAGATAAAATCCACCCACTTTAGGAAATTGTGCTTCAAGCACTGAGTCACAGGACATTAGCCGACTCATATGAGCGTGGGTAGCATTATTGTGTGAGGAGCCAAAGTTTTAGCTGACCTGATCATTTTAGATCAACACAAGTACTGGATTCAACTCCATAATACTGGCTGAACCCACGGGCGCCGCGGAATTTTGCTGCAACTTGCTGCCTTTTGCTTTCGTTTTTGAAATACGGTGTTTTACGTGTTTCCGCTGTGCGAATTTTGCAGCAATACTTTGCTTTTGGTGTGCTTTTCCACTTGTGCGAATTTGGTGGAGATCCTCCGGCCACTGTCAGAGATTTCACTGATTGGTTCAACTGCCGTCTGTGACTGCCCTCTTGGATTTGTCCTACAACAATCGATCAGGTGAAACACTGAGTCCCCTTCAGCCACTTCATTAACGCAGTAAGAAGACAGAGGTTGCGATATGTTAACATTTCGATTGCTCTCGTCAGTCGCTACGCAATACAGGCAGAAAAAAAACACGCAATATATAGGGTCCACACTTAGTAACATAGATAAGCAGATAAAAATGATGGGAATGACGTAATCAGGACCAAGGCAATCTAATTGATTGTCTCAGTTGTTTCTGGGCACAGAGTACGGGACACTTCAACCTTATCAGTAGCGCCTCGCCAATTGCCAACAACTTCGGGTTCCTGTTGCGCAATAGCACCTTGAATGAGTCGACTGGGTTCACCTGGTGACGAGTCAGCAAGAGATGTTTGGAGATAGAGGAGGCAGGGTTCAACTTCAGTCTTTGTTTCGCTCCGCCTTGGTTAGACAGCAACTGCCTTAGCCACAATGGGAAATGGGTTGAAGTGTCCCGTACTCTGTGCCCAGAAACAACTGAGACAATCAATTAGATTGCCTTGGTCCTGATTACGTCATTCCCACCATTTTTATCTGCTTCTCTATGTTACTAAGTGTGGACCCTATATATTGCGTGTTTTTTCTGCCTGTATTGCGTAGCGACTGACGAGAGCAATCGAAATGTTAACATATCGCAACCTCTGTCTTCTTACTGCGTTAATGAAATCGATCAGGTGCCTACCAGACCACCAGCTTGACAAACAGCTTTGGGATTCAGCATACCAGCGTAGACGTTGTAGCGAACGGCACCCGCAGATCTGATAGTCAAAATGGTGCCTACTGGTTGCCCACGGAAAGCTAAGCCCAAAGCTTCCGAAATAAACGTTAGTTGTGGCGTAGACAGCTGTGTAAAACTTGTGCGATTTGGAATAGAATGCAGAAACTGCCGAAAATACTTCCATTCTCGATGTGCTTGCCTTAGTATCAGCTAGGTAAAAAAGCTTACTAATACGACTGATTCTCTTCAATTGTGCACTGAGTGTATGTAACTTCCACTTGTCAGATGTATAACTGTGTTGGCGTAGAAGTACGATAGGCTGACAAAGATTTAGAGCAGGCACCAGCCGTGAAAGCTGCCTTAGATGAAGCAGACAGATCAGTGGCACGAACTCGATGCTCAACATCAAGCTTCAATTCAGAACAGTGTAGGAGTAACGATCCAGAGTTAGCCACCCCGACACTAGCGTCTGCTCATAAAGATGTTTTCGCCACGCATTCCTCAACAGAATCCCCCGCCACGTTAAACACTGTTAGAGGGTCGACAGCCTACGCGTCCGTTGTTCCTACCCATATGACGGAGGTAACTGCAATTGGAACGCCGTCTGCTGCCAAACGAGTTACTACTGCCAATACCACCAAGGGACACAAGACCCCATCACTTGTCCAACCGAAGAAAGCAGCCACTGGTCCCACCAAAAAGGAGAACCAAAACACTACTACAATTCTCTAACTGTTACATGCTCCAATGTGAATGTATTCGGGGCGAGCTCCATGAAACATAAGATGTTAGATGACAAGAAACAGTGGGACTCCCTATGTCAACTAATAAGCGTTCAAGATGAACCAGTCAGTATGAGACGCCTTGTCCGTCACCGAAACTCCATACACTAAGGTGAACCGCGGTTACTCCAGGTAACATTTCCGTCACGTAATGATTCAGAAGCAGTTCTTTTGTCAGCCACTTGCCTCCGTGCCACCACACGCACTGTTCGAATATTTCCAGATGTTCCTTGGAGCAAACGCCAGAAGCGCAAACAAAATCCGGATGACTTCCGTAAACAACCAGACGCAAAATCTATCCTTGTTCACAGTGTCCCCGAGCTCCAGTCACTAGGCGAGCTAGAGGTCAAGGCGCATGACTGAGATGAATGGCGTTTTGTTCGTGAAGTACTCTCACTCGAAACTCTTATCGCTAATTCCACACCAACATTACAGCTATCACCTAGCTACAAATTGTGTAGTCTTATAGTGATGAAAGTATTATTGTATTCCGAACTGATAGCAGCACACATGATCAAAATGTGGCACAAAAAGAGTAACACATTTCCATAAGAAGTACGTATAAAGTCAATAGGCACCAGGCCACAGATAGACAATGTAACACTGAGCAAGAAATTTACCAAAGCAATTCTGTCACCGTGAAGCTCAGAACGGAAACAATTGCAAAACACACCGACAGCTGAAGGTGGACAGGTTGGTCACCCTCCTGTTGGCGCTGAACTCTATACAACAATCTGTACTGGCCCTAGGACATGCGTAATCGGTCCTACAAAGAAAGGACCGTCAGCCGACCCCGCAAGGGTTGGCGTAGACCCTCACCGGAAACCAGCATTCACAAACACGCTTCTGACGACCGACGCCCTCACCTGTTTGTATACCAACGCACAAGATCTTTTCAGCAAGCTAACCGAACTTCGTATTCGTCAGATCTCTAGGCCTTGGGACCTAGCTATGGTCACCGAAACATGGTTGAACGCGGAGATCAAGGATTCTGAAATTACACTATCCGGCATAACGTCCATACGAAACGATCGACATAGAAGAGGGGGAGAGTGTTCTTGTATTATCGATCCGACCTGCACGTTGATGTCATTGAGGACGCAGAAACGAAAGTCGTCGATTCTCTATGGTGTCGTATGCACCTGAAATGTGATATGTGGTTACTAGCAATAGTTTACCGCCCTCAAATGTCCACCTTGGAAATAGATCAGTGCTCAGCTTCTGCGATGAAACGAGCCCTGGCCCCACCACACAGTCACGTCCATCTGGTGGGGGAATTCAGGCTGCACGCAAGCGAAGGTCCAGCATCACACAGCGAAAAATTCAAGGCAGATTTGCAAGGAATGATCGCCGATGTACCTCTGTACAACCATGTCACCTCTTCCACGCAATTCAGAAAGGGTGACACCCACTGTTTTGCACCTTGTGCTCTCCAACGAGGAACTAATGGTCGACACCGTGAGTATAGGTGCACCACTTGGTCGCTGTGATCATGCGACGTTGCCCTTTGGTTACATCTGTTACTCGGAGTACATCAGTTAGAACAACCTGGAAACCGGTTAGGAAAGTCTTTCGCTCAAAGCAAACGAATTCGTTCCAGGTGAGCCGTTCTAGAACATGCATGGCCCTAAGATATTCAGCATGGTGCGCTTACCAAGTCTGTCCAAGTAATTTGAACTGGGGTGTTTACACAACTCAACGAAACTACTGCGTCTAGTTGATCTGTGAAGACAAAGCCCAGCACGAAGAGAAAGCGTCGAAATTCAGTACAAGTCCAAAGTTGCGATGTAGACACCTTAACAAACTCCGCAGAGTGCATGGCGGGATCCTGGTTTTACGTGCAACAGTTGGTCTTGCGCAAACTGCACAAGATGCAGCCAAAGTGCTCCGCCGACACTTCATGCATATTTTCCCGAGTGAATCATCATTTCATCCGCTTTTTACACAGCTTCCTTCGCCACCAGGGTGTAACCAGATTTATTTCAACGCAGCCAATATGATAAAACGCTAATATCATTCCGCGTGCACAGCTCACCTGGAGTGAGAGACATCCAACCGAAGGCCTTGAAGACAGCGGCCGTGAACCTTGCCGAACCATTAGCTCGGTTCTTTCAACGTTGTCTCGACGAAACGAGGGTTCCGACAATGTGGAAACATGGACTAGTCACTCTTATTTACAAAAGTGGTAACCGATCCGAGGCCTCCAACTACCGTTCA